ATAGTCGTTTCGAAAAAGCGTTTCTTAGTGAGAACCTAGAAGCCAAGAGGAACATACATGACAAATTTCAAGTTTGTAGGCTTTACAGTTCTGGAGATTTTGTGATGATGCGCGAGTGGTATTTCGCTTTTATATATATAGATTGTATTTTAATATTATTCTGTTTCAACTTTCCATCACCTAAAGGAGCTGAAAGTGCAATTTAGACAATTACAGAGTAGGCTAAGCTGGTGCATGTCAGATAATGTTATTTTTAACAGTCTTCTATATATAAGAAATGTTAAAATTAGTTCAGATCTTGGAGTTTTTATATGTATAAAGAATAAGCAAATGTAATCCTGAGGATGACTCAACCAATATTAAATATTACCAAGCCTCACTGATTTCAGATGAAATGATTTCAACTGGTTTAAATTTCTATTATAGACAGTGGGTTTAAAAATACTTATCATTGGTAAATAGCAAAAAAATAATGTCTAACTAGCTGAACATATATTGCAAAAGATCATGTGATATTACTCAATAGAGGAAGAAGGAACTTGGAATTGGTAACTTGGAATTGGTAACATACAATTTAGATGATTTTTATAATTTAAAGGTTTAATCAATCAATCAATCAACTTTTATTGTCAGAGTACAATATATGTACAATGAGGTTAGCTGAGCCTCCCTTCGTGCACACACCTCCAACACAACTCACAGTGAGGATAGAAGTCCCTAACCCAGTCACACCATGTGACCTTGTTGCACAATGCACCGGCCCCGCAAGTCTATCATACTATGTTGACATGAAGTTATTTTCCGTTCAGGAGTCTGACGGCCCACAGATAGAAACTGTTCTTCAGCCTGTTGGTGCAGCTGGCTGTGCTTCTACATCTTTTACTCAATGGTAGGAGAGTGAAGAAGTGCTGACCAGGGTGTGAGTCGTCCCTGAGAATTTTCCTCACTCTTCTAAGGCAGCAAGCCCTAGCGAGGTCATCTAGTGGTATCAGGGAACAGCCCATGATGTTTTGTGCTGTGCTCACTGTTAAGTTTGGGGAATAATGGAGACCAGACATCTGACAGTGACTTCAACTCTTTAATAATAATAAATAGAACAGAACAGAGCAAGGCTATGGGCAACAGCAACCCTTTTATAGGGTTATCTGCTACCTTATTAACCAATGACATGTGCAACAAGTTCAAACTTATAACCAATGAGAGTGTCAAATAGTGGCCAATCAGGGACTAGCTATGGACCAATCCCTAGTTGTTGTATAAGGGCCAATCGTGTGCGGGTTTCCAAACCCTGATTTGCATTTATGCTAGTAATTTTTATTGATTCACAACACTCACCACCCTCTGTAATGTCTTTCTGTCCATGGCTGTCAAGCCAGCATACCACACCGTAATGCAATATGAAAGGATGCTTTCTATAGTGAACCGATAAAAGAAGGTCATCAGTTGTTGTTGCCTTCAGAAATTGTGGAGCTTCATCACTGGAAGCTTTCAAGAAGAGACTGGACAACCATCTATCAGAAATGGTGTAGGGATTCCCGCTTGGGTGGGTGGGGTTGGACTAGATGACCTACAAGGTCCCTTCCAACTCTGTTAATCTGTTAAGTATCTGTTAAGATAGAACAGTAAGCAATATTTCTTATTTAATTTAGTTAATTTATTCTTTTTTCAATTATTATTACACTTTATTAAACCATTAAATTCAAACAGTTCAAATGAAATTTAAAATTATTAATACAAGCAAAGTACATCACAGTATTGCATTGTAATATAATATGAAAGAAAAACAATAAGCAATAATAATAATAACAGTAAAAGCAGTAGTCAAATGATAATTAAAAAATCATAGTGAAATTAGATCATTAAAAGGACCGAGGAAAATAAAATACGTTTCTCTGGCAGAAAGCACAATAAAGATAGCACCAGGTGTGTCTCAGCTGCTATAGCATTCCTAAGTCAGAGAGCACCAGTAGTCCTCAGGTTATGACCATTCATCCAGTAACCATTCAAGGTCGTGATGGCCCTGCATGAGTGGGACTTATGATTGAGTTCCAGCCATCACAGTGTTCCTTTGGCCATGTAATCACAATCTGGGAGCTTGGTGCGTGACTTGCAATTATAGTGTGGCAGCAAGCCATAGTCATGTGACCACATTCCCTGTCAGCTTCCCACATGAAAAGTCGATGTTTTTAGTTTTTGTGTTGTCTCACTTAAATAATGACAGCAAGCATATCTTGAGACTTGTAACTAAATTTTCTGGTATCCATGCTGTTAATCTTTCAGCATCATCATGTATTTATCTCATTTTTAATCCTGCATTATTAATTTTATAAGTAATTCAAAGCGGCGAAATACATTTTGACATGGGTTAGACTAAGAGTGTGATTGGCAATCTTTGCTTCCCCATACATTTGTAGGGGTCTCAGAAATTTTAGCAATTTGTATGGAGGTAGCGTATCATATATGAATCATTTTAAAGTAATTTTCCTGATCCTTGATATAGACTGTAACATGGAATTCCTTCAAACTGTAGGCCAGTGTGTATCTGTGATATTAATTCTTAAATCTGATTCTTTGAGTGATCACATCCAATGATTTATAACAGAATATGTGTTTTGAATTCTGAAGATTCTAACCTAAGGTGATATTCATTCCTAATTCTGAAAACATTGCCTAGAAAAATTAACAATGATATTATTTAGGTTTATTTCTTTGTCATCATCCTGAGGAATAACTCTTCCAATATGTAAGAACTGCAGGATAAGCAATCTCCCAGATTTAAATCTATTTAAATTAGATTTAAACATCCAATCTCCCCAGCTTTAAACCTACTTGTCTTGGGGGAAATTGTATATCTAGATTCTGGGACCTGATAATATTACACTTTTTGGATGTCTAAATAGGAAAGTATTTTTATAGAGAACAGAGTGCTTCAAAAATGAGGAGCTGTCTTCTGTTCCCAGTCATTTATTTGGCATCATAATTGTATTAGGAAGTACCGGTATTGACAGGATGATTCTTCTTATGTTCTCTATTTAAATAATAGAACTGGTAATGAACTGTGAAAATATGCCTTCAATGGAGAATATAATGCATAACGAGAGTGATCCCTGAGTGGTCTTTTATATTTAGCCTGGAACTAAGCATGGCATGGTTCATGTCATCCCCAATCCATATCTGAGGGAGATTAAGGTTGACCCTAGGTGCTCTGGTATTAAAGTTGTTTTCCCCTTTAAGTGGGTAAGAAGTTTAAACAGAGATATGCACTGCAGGATATGCCAGATGCTCCAAAAACCTAAAAGGATCATATTAAAGTTGTGTTTCTTTTTCTGTGGCATATTTCTATGCCACTTGATATTTATATCACAAACAATGCTGAAAGGATAACTTAAAAATAACTATTAAACCAAATTGTGTCACTTGGTTATAAAGAGAAAACTATTATGCCAAATGGTAATAGATAATAGACAATACAGAGAAAATCTAATTCAGCTTTTTCCGATTGATATTCTGTGTTAACTGAGAATTATGAAATGTATTACAGCTGGTTGAAGGAGATTGGAGTAATTGATTAACACTTTGGTTTATAGCAATGTAAAAATCATCTGACAAATTTTAACAGTACTGTTAAATATGAAGGCTTTTTATTAACTTAATTACAAATATAATAACACAATAAAGTTGTCATAAATAATTATTCAGAACCATAAATAGAATTTTAAGGAATACATACAAAACTGATATCAATAAAAGATAATAGAGGAGCTTTGTCGTTTTAAAATAGATTTTTTATTATGATTCCATGAGCCCTGGAAACAAAGAGCCACATAAAATGAAATTATAAAAGGCATTTCGAAAAAGGAGGTGAAAGATTTTGTACAGGATTTCCTGTTTTTTTTACTTTCTTGTAGCACTGTGAAATATTAAAGAAAAAGCAACAAACATGGAGGGCATAATATAAATACTAGATTTAGTTGCATTATAAGAAAAATTAAATTTTAAAATGGTGACCCATACATCGGAAAAATAAATGTATGCTACTGAATGGTTTCCATTTACCTATAATTCTTTAGACACTAATATACTATATACATTGTTGGATTACCTATGTTTACTTATTTCCTCTCCTTAATGTATCATGGGAAAGAGCAGTAGGAGTCTTCACTAATCGCATTATGAGCACTTTCACAATCTAAAAATGCCGCACATGTTTTGGTATTAAAATGTTATGAAAATTATACATTAAATGATGTCCAATCTCATAACTACATTACATGGACACCTCTGAATACAAAACCCATAATGTGTAGTTTAGCCTTCTTCTATCTAGTGCCTTCCAGATATTTTGGGGTATCTTCTTTCAAAACAGAATAAATTATTGAGAGCAAGGAATTCACACATATTTACATTTCTGTGATCCAGACCTTCACATTTTCTGGTTTTTATGTTTCAGTCTCTATGTTATTGCTTTAATATTCCTTCCTCCTCCTATTTTCCCCACAACAATGAACCTGTGGGTTGAGAGAGCATGACTGGTCCAAACTCACAGAATTGACTTTTCATGGCTAAGGAAGGACTTGAACTCACAGTCCCCTGTTTTCTTGCCTGGGGCCTTAACCACTAGACCAAACTGGCTCTTTATGTACTTCTTCCTGCATTTTTTGGATTCACATAGCTAAGCAACAAACTAGCTAGGTTAATCAGGCATCATTAATTAAGAAAAGATGCTTCTAAGTACATGCTTGCTGCAGTGTTTCAGATTTTTCTCTGATCTAATTATGCTGATTTTAAAAAAAAAAGTATATTAAATATATATTATATTAATCCTAATGAAAAATTTAATAATATTGTGTTGAAGTCTACTTGAGATAAAATACCACCCAACATCTATAATATGGCAACTAATCTTCCCACAGATATTGATAGCTACTGAATATTTCTTCTTTCAGTTATGATTTAATGGTGTATACTAAAGTTTTGTTTCTTTGTTCATTCTGTTTCAGGTAAAGGTTACATGGCCAATGAACAATTCAACTTCTCTGAATCATTTTAATTTGGTTTCAGTTTATGCCACTGTGCTTCTAAACAAGACTGTTTTATTTTTAGGGACAGGAAATGGGCAGCTATTGAAGGTAGGTTATGCCATAAATCATTATGATTTCATCAGTTCATACATCAGGTTATGTAAAATTGCAGAAAACAGTGTTCATATTTGGATCAATTTTTTCAATATGTTTTTAATAAAAAAAATTAATAGTATTAATATAAATAATCAGTATACTTAGTTTTTAAGAACTCACAAATAAGCTGCACATACAATTTATCTTTTTTTTAGTGAAGTAAAACAGGTTGGTGCATGCATTTGCACATTTGCACTCTTTGCACATTTAGAGCTTCCATTTTCTATAAATCAAATAGAAAAGATTTTGAAGGAAGACAGATTTTATATTGTTCACTATAACTTTGCATTTGAAAAAAATATTTTTTTAAAAATACATTGTTTGCTATGGTACATTTGATTTAATAATATATTCATTTGATTTAAACATGGTATTTTGAATAAGGCATTGAACTTACATATGCTACAGTTTACAAATTGGCAAGGCTGGGGTCATACATTAAGCCACTATAAGTTACATAATGATTTTGTACAATGTTGGAAGATAGTATATGTTTTTACTATAACAACAGCATCTATAACTGTTTACATTCTTTTCAGCCTTAATCT